AAACCAGGGATGGAACTGTGCCCCCTGCAGTGGAAGCACAGAGTCTTAACCGCTGGACTGCCAGGCAAGTCCAAATCTCTTCCTTTTTAATTCTGTGAACCAACAAACTCCCCCTCTTTTAGGACCTTAAATGGAGTAGGGGAGGTGGTGGTCCTATTACTTGTAGCTGAAAACATCCTGAATATTACATCCCCTGCTCCTAAGAAGGAAGTGTTTTGCTTTTCACATTAACAGCTTGCTTAACCTGGGCTCTGGACCCATCCTTCCCCTGGGATGGTAATTGAAACTTCACTCCTTCAATTACCATTCCTTCTACTGTCTCCTTTCTCCTATGACTTCAAACATTAAATCCGGCTTCCCTCAGGATATAAACAAACAAGCAAACCTTTCCATCCTCTACAACCCTCCATCTCTCCTTCCCTTTTTGGCCAAACTGTGTAGGACAACTCTTCACATTCCTACCCCCACTTGTTCACCTTCCATTCATCCCTCAGTCTGCTACCATTGGCTTCTGCTTCTTTCACTTCCCTAAAAATGACTCTCAACAAAGTCACTAAGCAGTCTAAGTCAATGTTTTCTATAGGAGACAATAGCAATGCCCAGTCCCATGGATCCCTTATCATTTGTGTATGAAGTGTTTGCCCAAACCACCCCACCCCACCCAATTATGCTCATGCACACATACACATGCTCTATTACCACATCCCCTGCTCTTTGGTGTGTGTTCTTTTTTCAAACAATTAGACCTTCTAGATGTTTTTTCTTTTTCTTGAGAACTGTCCTGTCTTCAGGCTACTGGAAGCTTTGCCTTGATGAAATGCCTGAGAATTGACATCTCCCAGGGAAAGCCCTAGTTTACAGCTGAAGAATGTTGCTACAGGAAAGGCCCAGCTCCCTTGTTTCTGGATAAATCTGAGTCACAACTTACATTCAGAACTTCCCTGAGGAATCAAGCTGAACTACTCTCACATGTTCTCTGAGATCACACATTCTCTTAGTTTCCTCTCCTGCCCCTCCCACTCCTTTACTAGTTTCTCCTGGTAGCACTTAAAAAAAAAAAAAAAATCATTTGCACACAAATTCTTACCTCTGGGTGTGCTTCTGGAAAACCTGATCCAAAACATCATCCCGGCACTTTCTACTGTTTTTTTTTGCCTGCCCGTTAAATGTGGTTTGTTTCCCAAAATTAAGTTCTAGGCCCTCTTCTCTCTACAGGTATTACCAGGACAATCTAATGCATGTTCCTGGCTTTAACCACTACTTGTGTCTGATCATGACCACACTGCTGAGACTGTTAGATCTGTCTTTGCTGGACAGCTCCACCTAGTTGTCCTCAGACATCTCTTACATCAATACAGTAAGTCACTAGGCACATGTGACTACTTTAATTAACTAAAAAGAAAACTTCAGTTCCTTAGTCACACTAGCCACATTACAAGTGCTCAAAACCCACATGTGGCTAGTGGCTACCATACTAGGCAGTCCTGATAGACAGCATTTCAGTCACTGCACAGTTTATTGGACAGTTTAGACAATACTTCCAAATCTAGTTCTTCATCACCACCCCCGTTCTGTATTCCTCACCTTGTCTCTCTTGTGGACAACAGTGGGCCAACTACAAAGAATGGGTGTGTGAACCTGTCAGGGAGGAGGGGGGTGATCACAGAACTAGAGTCCTTTCCACTGACATCTTCTGAACTGGAAAGATGGATGGACAAAGATGGTGATGAAGACCTTAACAAAGGCCATCTGGTGAGCTGATGCTAATTCGGTTAGAGCTGGGGGAGAGATGGGGACTAAGACTGGCTAGGCCAAGACTTTGTGTTTCAGGAATAGCAAGTGATCCAGGCCAATCAGCTGAAGTCAGTTCTGGAAATTTTACTGCAAATCTCAGAGGAAAAACATGCCCCTAACAGTTTCTAGGCTATTAGGACTTAAGTTTGGAGCTGTAGAAATCTATTTTGCCACTAAGAGAGGCATGGGGAGAGCTCAGTCTAGAGGTGAACCACTGGTTCCTGATATCTTTTGGCCCTTTTATTCAGCTGTTCCTGAGGAAACTTGATCCATTCTTTTCAATGGCTTGAGTCCAAAGAGTCCCTTATTGCTTAGGCCAGTGGAGCTGGGTCAATGACAGAGCTGAGTTACTAGACTCTCATCGTGCTCATGATTTCAACTGCCCTCTACTACACCTTAATACCGTCTCAATTTCTATATCTGGCCTTGATGTCTCTCCTGAGCTCCAGACTGTGTGTCCACCTGTCTCCTGACGTCCCACAAACACGCCCAAAACTGACCTCATTATTCCTACCGCCCCCATTTCCATTTCCCAAGCTCAGAGATGGAATCTCCTGGAACTTCCAGTACTTTCGTCAAAGAAACCACCAAGGTCGTAAGTTCAGGCTCCGCCTCCTCCTAGGGCCTCACCAAGGTCACCCGCATCTTCCCTCCCCCAGCTCCTTGGGGGCGGTGTCCTCGAACCCCTCAGCGGCCCAAGACGGCGCTCTAGGCTGCGGCGGGCCCTTCAAAAAGCCTTCTCAACTCGCTGGTTTCCGGTACCTGGCTCCTCTAGCCTCCGTCAGGCCCTCGAGACTACTCCCCTAAAGTTCCTTCTCTATGGTTGACAGCGCCCCTTTGTCCCGACTTTCCTCCGGGAGGATGTTCTGGTAGGACCCAACCCCTTCGTATGGCTGCTCCTGCCGACCCTGGTAGGCGCAACTGAAGAAGTCACTGAGCCCTCCGAGACTCACATACTCTCAACTCTGAAAGGGCTGCATGGAGTGGGAGGATGGCGGAAGTGAGTGTGAAGGTGCCCTTCCTTCTCCCCGCTCTTCTCTATGGTCGTTTCCTACGGTGACGGGAAAAAGGGGGTCCCGGCGCCTGCGCAGAACCGGGCTGGGAGCTAGTCGCGGAGGGGGGGTGGGGCAGGGAGCGGGAGCTGCCGCCGCCGCCGGAGCTAACCGCGGGGACCGAGATGCAGGTGGGACCGGAACCGGAACCCCCCTCTTCAAGTCCCTCTTCCCTCTGCGCGACCCGGCCCCGGCGTTTGCTAGGAGCCCTGGGTGGGGGCGGGCGTGGGGGCTAGAGGCAGGAGGGGCGCCCGGCCCCGGAGAGTGCAGAAGACAGGGCTGCTTCCCTGGGGGCTGCGGCCCCGGAGAATGGGCGGGTAGAGGGTGTCCGGGGAGGAGGGTCGGGTCGGAGTGGATTGACCACCGGGTCCGGAGGGTCCGAGCCGGGAGCGGAGCCTGCACCCTCCACCACCCGCCCTTCGGGAAATATCAGAACTGAGCCAAGAGGCAGGTGCAGTGGGAAAATGTGTCTGAGTCCCGCTTGGCGAAAGAGAAACTGAGTCACCAGCTTAGGACCCGCAGGGTCAGCGGGCCTGAAGGGGGCTGGGTCTGCCTGTGGTGCAGAGGGTTGGGTGGGCCGGTGTGAGCTGAGGTGGCCTCTGCCTGGAGATTGGGCTCTCTGCTGTGTCTACACCTCTTGGCTCGGTTCCCCCGTGCTCCATGACTCTTTCATCTCCTGGCGTCTTTTCGTTGGTTTGGAATTGCCCCTATGGTTGGAGCCATCTGAGTGTGTAGGGTCTAAGCTGAAGAGAAAGGGGAGGGGGCGCTGACCTGGGTCTGAACAGGAGTCTGGGGTTTGGGGAGATTTGCCTGAACTGCCTTCACCCCCTTCTTGGTGCCAGTCATCTTCGAGTATAACATGGGGGAGGAACACTTAACAGAAGAGCCATGGGTTTATAAATTCCCTGCCCAGCTTTGCCACTTGCTAGTTGTAAGACCTTGGAAAGGCTCTTCCTTTTGCTGATTTCTCTTTGAGAAAATCAGAACCCCATAAAGATAGTAATAACGACTGTCATTTGTTGTGTGCTTACTTTGTGTCAAGGCAGGACAAGTCCTGTTTAATTCTCCCAACAGTTCTAGGGGTTAGGGATCATTAGTCCTGTTTTATAAATACAAAAACCAAAGTTCATAGAGGACGTGTAATTTGTTCAAGATCACCCAGCTAATAAGTGGCAGTGATGGGATTTCGTCCTAAGTCTAATTCCAGAACCTATGGCCTTAACCACCAAGCTAACCAGCCTTTAGGGCACACTCCTCTGTGAAAAGAGGAAGGTGAGAAACCCAAGGCCCCAGCTCCCTGTATTGTTTTACTTTGTGGCCAGCAAAGACTCGCCCAGACCCAGCTCACACTCTGCTACTGCCTCTGGGCCCCAGACTGGAGGGCCACCCAAGAAGGGGGCTCTGCCCTTCCAAGCCTCCTTCACGCAGTGCTTGGGTACTGGGCCCTGGGGTTGGCTTTCATTGATTTGTCCTTAATGAGCAACCTCCGTCCTCAGTGATGGACCATGGGAGGCAGGGTCTCTTAAGCTCTGCAGGGCTGGCTCCCCTGCGAGCTGGGGCAGTGAGGGGCAGTGACTTGAGACTGGCACAGTCAGTGCCTGGGGACGAGGACTGTGCGGTGGGAAAGACAGGAGACTTGGAGTTCTGAAACTTTCTGAGCTCCGGGTTCCTCTTCTGTTAACAGAGGTTAAAACCTCTTGCAGGGAAAGGTAAGAACGGCAATTGGAAAGCAGGTGATAAGTATCAAAGGATCATTTTAGAGAAGGGAGGGAACATGGAAGAGATTCCTGTTTAGAGGAAGGCGCTGTCCAGCAGTTCATCACACCTGGAGCTGAAACCAGGGAATGTGGATCGGGGAGGCAGCAGGAGGAGGGGTGCAGGCTAGACATTGGAGTGGGGGGTGGTTGATCGGCTGGGGCTTGTGGGGTGCAAGGACCTGGGGAAGGGCAGGGAGGCAGTGTGGTGTGTGTCCCAGGTGCGCTCTAAGGAGTCTAGACCAGAGGAGGGGGTCTGGCCCCGTCCCACCTCAGCAGTGACTCCATATATGTGCCTCTTCCTTCTGCAGCTGCTGCCGCTCACCCCGTGTCTTCTGGCCGCTTCCCTCTTTGCCGCCCCTCCCCACAGGCTCCCCATCTCCACCTCCTGGGGGCCATCATGAATGATGCCCCTTCCCCGGAGGATGGGGCCTCGCCCTCCCCTCCCTCGTTGCCTCCACCGCCTCCCCCGTGTTGGCGGGAGTTCTGCGAGTCCCACGCCCGGGCAGCCGCCCTGGATTTTGCCTGCCGTTTTCGCCTCTACCTGGCCTCTCACCCCCAGTACGCGGGGCCAGGGGCCGAGGCCGCCTTCTCCCGCCGTTTTGCCGAGCTCTTCCTGCAGCACTTTGAAGCAGAGGTGGCCCGGGCCTCCGGCTTCCTGTCGCCACCCCTCCGGGCTCCTCTGAGTCCTGGTGTGGAGGTCCCGCCACACGACCTGTCCCTTGAGAGCTGCAGGGCGGGCGGGCCCCTGGCTGTGCTGGGCCCTTCTCGCTCATCTGAGGACCTGGCCGGCCCCCTCCCTTCCTCGGTCTCTTCCTCTTCTGCAACCTCCTCGAAGCCGAAGCTCAAGAAGCGCTTCTCCCTCCGTTCAGTGGGTCGCTCGGTCCGTGGTTCGGTCCGCGGCATCCTGCAGTGGCGGGGGACCGTTGACCCGCCCTCTCCAGCGGGGCCCCTGGAGACGGCTTCGGGGCCCCCGGCGTTAGGTGGGAACAGCAACTCCAACTCCTCTGGCGGGGCTGGGACCGTCAGCAGGGGACTGGTCAGCGACGGGACGTCCCCCGGGGACAGATGGACTCACCGTTTCGAGAGGCTGAGACTCAGTCGGGGAGGGGGGGCCTTGAAGGATGGCACAGGCGTGGTGCAGCGGGAAGAGCTGCTGAGTTTCATGGGGGCTGAAGAGGCCGCCCCTGACCCCGCCGGAGTGGGCCGGGGAGGAGGGGCAGCGGGGCCTACCTCAGGGGGCGGGGGGCAGCCTCAGTGGCAGAAGTGTCGCTTGCTGCTTCGAAGTGAAGGAGAAGGAGGAGGAAGTTGGCTGGAGTTCTTTGTACCCCCCAAGGTGAGGCCCAGCGGAGGTGGGGTGGCTGGGAGCAAGGGGTTGAGCAGCCAGGGCGGTGGCTTGGCCCCCATACCGAGCTTTGCTTACTTGTTTTGTTGGCTTTTTTTTAAAATAACTTTTATTTATTTATTTGGCTGTGCTGGGTATTCGTTGCTGCGTGGACTTTCCTCTGGTTGTGGCAGATGGGGGCTATTCTCGTTGTGGTTTGCAGGCTTCTCACTGCAGTGGCTTTTCTCATTGCGGAGCACGCGGCTCTAGAGCGCTCTGGCTTCCGTAGTGTTGGCTTGTGGGCTCTAGAGCACAGACTCAGTAGTTGTGGCGCATGGACTGAGTTGTCCCGCAGCATGTGGGATCCTCCCGGACCAGGGATCGAACCTGTGTCTCCTGCACTGGCAGGCGGATTTTTTACCACTGAGCCACCCGGGAGGGCCTGGGTTTCTTAAAGCTAGCTCCTGACTCTGGGTTAGTCGCCATGGGCAGGACAAAAGAGAGCAGTGTTACTTGTCTAACTCCCTTTGGGTGTGGAAGGAAGGCCGAATCTCTGGAGGGCGGGGAAGGGTTGTTTCTCCAACACCAACAGTCTGGGTCTTGTTCTCTCTCGCGACCTAGGCGTCTCGGCCTCGACTGAGCATTCCCTGCTCCACCATCACCGACGTGCGGACGACCACAGCCCTGGAGATGCCTGACCGGGAGAACACCTTTGTGGTTAAGGTAGGAGGCCTAGGCTCCCTGCCTTCTCAGAGCACTCATGTTAGAGAGAAAGCTCTTTTCGGACATTGAAGCAAGGGATACATGTGCAAGGTGGGGCACAGATGCCAGGTGCCTTGAGAATGTGTCCCCAGGGCGGCGGCTTTTCTGGGAGGAGGGGTGAGCAGGAGGATGTCCTTGCTGCCGTTAGGGGTGCATTAAGGCCTCGAGACCTGGAAGTGGCCTGTGGGCCTCCTCTCTTCCCCATAGGTGGAAGGCCCCTTGGAGTACATCCTGGAGACAGCCGATGCGCTACATGTGAAGGCCTGGGTGTCTGACATCCAAGAATGCCTGAGTCCGGGGTGAGGAGCCCAACTTCTACCACTGAGGGGCCCAGGGGTGGGGGTGGGGAGCAGCTGTCTGCCTCTCCGCCATGACTTGTCCTCCCAGCACCATTTTCCCTGTCTCTGCAGACCCTACCCTGCTACCAGTCCACGCCCCATGACCCTCCCCCTGGCCCCTGGGACCTCCTTCCTGACACGGGAGAACACAGACAGCCTGGAGCCGCCCTGCCTGAACCACTCGGAGAGTCTGCCCAGCCAGGGCCTGCTGCTGGGGCCCAGTGAGAGCAGCAACCGCCTTTCGCAGGGTAAGGGTGGGGCCTTAGAGAGCTGAGGACCCTGGGACCTGTTATATAAGCCCCCCGGCTGGCAGGCCGGGCCCTAGCCCTCTCTCCAGGTTCCACTGTGCACCTCAGCTGCCACCCACCAAACATGTGACTTTTGTCCCTGAACAGGCCCAGCCATGGTTTACGAGTTAGAACTGTCGTCATCACCGCCCCGACCCAAGCCCCAAGCCAGCCCTTCTCCAGCCTTCTATCCCCGCCCCGTCACCCTTTCCATAAGCCTTGTGCTGGCCACCACTCTAGCTGGAGATAATGATTCTCTTCTCCAGGCTCGCAGAACACTGTGCACATCTTTGTTGTATTCTTACTCTGCATCTCCATACATATGTTGATGGTACTAGGATTTCTTTTGAGTCCCAACTTTTAAACACATACATACGCTGCCCGCACACATAAACACAGAAAGATGTATCTACCTGGCCCCAGCTCACCTTTCTAGACTCCACTACACTCTTCTGATCCTCCATTCTGAGCTTCAGTTTCACTGTGCCTTGCACACAGCCTGTGTGCAGTGAGTAAACAAATGGATTAAAGAAATCTAGGGGCCAGAATGGACCTTACCGGGTCATCAATTCTGATCTCCTCATTTCTCAAGCAGCTAAGAGCAGAGAGGAGAAATGGCTTTTCTGAGGTCATCCGAGGATCACGGACACAGGCTCTGCCAGCTTGTTGCTGAGCCATAGCGCCCTGCACCCCGCATATTCCTGTCCTCTGAGCACTAATATGTACGACACGCCTATAGGCTCCTGCCTGCTGCTCAGCAGACACTCAGCAACTCCGAGTACATCCTCGACCCTGTGCTCGGCTCTGGGCGGGATGAGGAGCTCAGAGCTGCCCTGTGGGCCCACGGTCTAGCTGAGTTGACATCACTCCTTCTCAAAAGGTGGGCTCCCACCTGGTGAGCCTGAGCAGCACCAGCAGGAGGCCTTGGGAACTCAAGAGGAAGAGAATCAGGGGAGGTGGGATAGATGGGGAATCCCGCACAGGGGAGGAGAAGAGAATGTGGCTTGGAGAAAGGAGATGGTGAGAGCAGAGACCTGAGGTGGGGAGAGCCTGGACATTGAAAAAGTTAGGGGGATAATTGGGCTAAATCAGAGGACACAGGAATACAGATCTTAACAGGAATACATCTTCTTAACATGAAGATCAGGTTGGTTAGGTTGAGAGAATTCATAGAAGGAGAATATTTGACGCCCTTGAGAGCTGAGGGCTTTGTGCTATAGGCAAAGAAAGTACCTATTTTTAATGTGAAAGTATTTGAGGGCTTCTGCCCCCCCTCCCCAATTCTGCAGCTATAGAGTTGCTGTAATTTCAACTGTTGATTCAGAAGAGATGTGGGCACATTTGGATTCTAAGACCTTGTTGGAATCATTGCAGCCCTTTCAAGCAGTGTGTGAAGCATAAGTTCGGAGCCACCGATGAAAGCCATCAGGCTCAGTGGCTGAAGAAGGAGCCAGCATTTCGGCCAGCTGACGTCAGTGCCCACAGGGTAGCCTGGCTGCTGGGGAAGTAGGTCTGGCAGACCAGTCCTCCCAAAAAGAAGCTTCAAGTTCTCAGTTTTGCTCTCCCCTTTTTCTTCCAGGGGCCTACGGGGGCCTGTCAGACCGCCCCTCAGCATCCATCTCCCCCAGTTCCGCTTCCATTGCCGCCTCCCATTTTGACTCAATGGAACTACTTCCCCCAGAGTTGCCCCCCCGGATCCCCATTGAAGAGGGACCCCCAGCAGGGACCGTTCATCCCCTCGCAGCCCCTTACCCACCCCTGGACACTCCGGAAACAGCCACAGGTACCAGAGGTGTGAGTGTGTGTGCTTCCAGGCCTGGTGCCCACCTGCCTCGTCTTGGGATCTCAGGGGTCCAACTGGGGGTTCTTGGGAGCGACCCATGAGGGAAAAGTAAGGCTTCTCTTCTCCTTGGGATTGGGATGGCTTCTCTGACACCCAGTTTCCTTCCCTCTCTCTTTCCTGAAGGGTCCTTACTGTTCCAAGGAGAGCCAGAGGGAGGCGAGGGGGACCAGCCCCTCTCAGGGTATCCTTGGTTCCACGGGATGCTCTCTCGACTCAAGGCTGCCCAGCTAGTGCTGGCTGGAGGCACTGGCTCCCACGGGGTTTTCCTGGTACGTCAGAGTGAGACGAGGCGGGGTGAATATGTCCTCACTTTCAACTTCCAGGGCAAGGCCAAGGTGAGTGCCTGAGGAGGAGGCTCCATTGCAGGCAGTGAGCCTGCGGGTCGAGTGGGGGAATGCTGCCATCGGGGGGCGGGGGGGGAGGGTTCTATGACTGGTAGGGCTCAGGCTCCTGTTTTATCCCACTCTTCCCACCCTCAGCACCTGCGTCTGTCACTGAATGAGGAAGGTCAGTGCCGGGTCCAGCACCTGTGGTTCCAGTCCATCTTTGATATGCTCGAGCATTTCCGGATGCACCCCATCCCCCTGGAGTCTGGAGGCTCCAGTGACGTTGTCCTTGTCAGCTATGTCGTGTCCTCCCAGCGACAGCAGGGTGAGCAGAGCAGGTCTGCAGGGGAGGAGGTGCCCGTGCACCCAAGAAGTGAGGAGGTGTGTGTGCCAGCAAGACGGGGTGGGGGGCCCAAGGAGGAGAGTGGGGGCAGAGGAGGTGCCTGTGTGTTGGGTCTCTCGGGGGAAAGGAGCCCATGGGGACGTAGGAAGGCAGCGGGCTCCGTGCTGGAGCCGGGAGGAAGTGGAGAGCTGGGTTTCGTGCATTCCCATTCCATCGGCCCGTCTGTTCCATCGTCTGTCTGTCTCCTAGACGCGTCCTCCCTGGCCTTGTCTTTGCCCTCCATCACAGCCTCACCTTGGGCCTGCCCTTCTTGGGGGTGCTCGGTCTGATCCCCCTCCCTCCTCCCTTGATGTCTGATGTCCCTGTCTGATCTCTCCCTTTTCCCCACCCCCAATGTCCCATCTGTCCCCACGTTGCCCCTCCCCTACCCCCCCAGGCCGGGAGCAGGCCGGGAGCCATGCAGGGGTGTGCGAGGGAGATCGATGCTACCCCGATGCCTCCTCCACCCTCATGCCCTTCGGAGCGAGTGACTGTGTGTAAGTGTGGTCCTCCTCTCACCACCGCCCATGATCCATCTTCCATGGATGGGGGGATTGCTCAGGAGACGGGATCTGGGGGAGATAGCACATGGCTCCGGGGAGGGGATGAGCGATGGGGAGGCTGCTCCAAGAGCTTGCCTCCCTCCACCATCAGTCTGTCTTCTTACCATTCCTATCCAGAACCGAGCACCTCCCATGACCCACCCCAGCCCCCTGAACCCCCTTCATGGACAGATCCCCCACATCCTGGGGCAGAAGAGGCGTCGGGGGCGCCAGAAGTGGCGGCAGCAGCAGCCGCAGCAGCCAAAGAGAGGCAAGAGAAAGAGAAAGCGGGCAGTGGAGGGATCCAGGAAGAGCTGGTCCCCGTGGTTGAGCTGGTCCCCGTGGTTGAATTGGAAGAGGCCGTAGCCCCAGGCACGGAGGCCCAGGGAGTCGCTGGATCTGCTGGGGCCCCTGGGGCGACCCTGATGGTGCAGCTCCAGCAGTTACCACTAGGGGGCGACGGAGAAGAAGGGGGCCATCCCAGAGCCATAAATAACCAGTACTCCTTTGTGTGAGACGCCCTACCCCACCCTCTCTCCTCTTGCTCCCCAGCCCTCCGTTGGTGAGATCCGGGCTGTGCCGCGACACAGAGGAGCGGTGGGAATCCCCTCCCCACATGCTTCCTGACCCTTGACGGCCAAGGGCATGTTTGTTGGTACAAAAAGGTTCAAGAGCCCTAACTCCCCAGTTCGTACACTACAGGTGCCCCGTCCCCTGGGCAGGGGATTCAGGCGCCATTACCTCCCGAAGGGGCTCTTACGGCCAGCCCCATCCCTGGGGGCCATTTCCCCATTAACCACCCCTCAGCCCAAGGAAGGGTGAGGGGGAAGGGCTGTCAGTTATGTTAAGGTGGTTGTTCTTGTTGTTTTAAACAAAATGGAGAAGCATAAATAAATAAAAGGGTTTATCTCAGTTCCATTGTGACGGCTGTGGCCAGTGTTTGCAGTGCGGGGCTGGAACAGGCGGGTCAGGAAGGTAGCCCACTCAGTGTTGCCAAATTCAGAGCTGAGAGGCCAGAGGCCTGGGTCAGCTTGAGTCCCTGTTGCTCCCAGACCTGAGCTTTTGGCCCATTGCTCCCCAGGGGACTGTCCTGTTTCTTGAGGGTTAAGTGCAGAGCCAAATGGTGCTTCTTGGGGTCTCCAGCCAAGTTTGCTTAATGGGACAGGACCGTGAACAGCAGGATCGATGATCTCCAATCAGTTCAGACCTTTCTGCTCTGAATTCTTCGGTTGAGGCTTCCTACCCTGGGGAGAAAGCAGGCTGGGAGAGACTGTGAAGGGCTGGGCAAGGGGCATGATGGCTGTGTTGGGAGAGGTTGAACGTGGCCACCACAGCCTAGCTGCAGAGGGGCCCAGGGGCAGGCTGACCCGTCCCCCTTCTCAGAGCCCAGCTGGAAAGCTGAAGCCTGGATGATAAAAGAGTGCTGGTTCCACTCTTGCCTTTGCTTCTCATTTGCGGTGTGTCCTGGGCAAGGTGTAACCTCTCCAGACCTCAGTAGCCCCATCTGTAAAATGGGAAGGTTCATCTAGGTTGAAGCCGCTGACATGGTTTACTTGGTCTGGATGGTGTTTCCATTGGAACTTCACATGGAAGTTCAGATCACTGGTTCTTCCCAAAAGTCAGAAGATCCAGCCTCACCTGGTACCTGCCTTCCACATCTACTCCATGCCCACCGGCCCACTTTACTCACAGGAGGCACATGGCTGAGTCTGTGAGCATTTGAATTTGCGACGTCTCCCTCTGCTCACTGTACCCCTCCCCCCACAGCACCCAGTCTCTGCTCTCTGGTCTCTGGACTGAATTGAGGCTGTGCCCGCCTCCGACTGAGGGCACCCCGGGCTTCCCAGCTCTGCAGGTGCCAACAAGGAGGAGCCAGGTTCTGAAGAATCCCACCTGTTCTGTTGGCCCTCTCCCTCCCCCACCTCCATCCGACTGGACCCCTTCCCATTCTGCCTCCCACTTCCCCTCCCCTCCCGGGCAGTGTGGAGGCTCCATGCTCACGCCCCTCAGCCTCTGCCCCCACCTCCAGGAGGCCCTACCCATGCTCATGACCTTGCTATTCTGGGCCTTGCGTCCTGTTGGGAGATGGACAGGAGACAGCTGGGCTCACGGGCCACCCAGCCTGGGGGCTCGCCGGGGGAAGCTCTTCTGGTTTGGTCTCATCCCTGGGGCTCCCCCAAACCTGGGCCTCTGGAGCCTGGGGATAGAATTGGCCTTGCAGAGGGAGGGGGATGGATTGGGGATCTGGATGCTGTGTTCTCAGAGTGAGGTGGCGAGAGAAGGCTGTGACGCCCCAGGGTAAGCAGGAGCTCATCCTCTCCTAATCTGGCAGCAACTGGTGCTGCGAGGCTCCCCCTCCCCCCACCCCACCCCCCAAACCCTGCCAGCCTTCAGGGCCTTGCTGTTTGAAGGGGGGTGGGCGAAGGGTACCAGGACCCCTGAGCTCCCTCTCCCCCACCCCCCAAGATGTGCAAGTCTTGGCTGGAGGAGCCTGGGAAACTGTTTCCCTCTAAGCCTGTCTACGGATGTTTCGGCCGAAGTTCCAAACTGATGGGCAATGGCCAGGCTGTGCCTCAGTGGTCCCTCAGAAGTCCACCGCTCCCGTTCGCAGCCCCAGCCCTCAGGATGGGATGAACACCTTCCAACTCTGGGCCTGGAGACCCTGGCGTAGTGGTGTGTGTGTGAGGGTGGTGCTCCAAGAGATGCGCCTCCATCCCAGTTCACACCCAGCCTCCCTGACCGTGATTCTTTTGCAGCTCTTGGCTGGTGGCTTTCCCTTCCTGGCTGCCGTTTCCCCTCTGAGAAGTTGGGGGAGGCAGAAGTGAATAACCTTAAAGGGCCTCGTTGGCAGCGGTGCCCTGTAAAGCCTGCGTCCTCCCCTCAGCCTCATGTTCTGAGTCCCTTGAAGCCGCGATCTGTCCAGTCTTCTCCCCCTTCTCCATGTTTGGGCATTCCTGCTCCTTTAAGACAGTGGCCCTGTCACTCCTCCAGGTGGTGGCAGGGTCAGGCCAGCCAGCTCCGAAAGGCTTGATACTGGCCTAAGAAGGTGGGTGCTTGGCCAGGTGGAGGCGCCTGGTGATGTGACCCCCAGCACGCATACCCCCTTGTCTGAGCCCGCCAAACTCCCTCAGGTCACCACAGGAGTCTGCTTCTGGGAGGGATTTATTGGACCCATGAAAAGGGGGAGGCAAGGAGCACTGTGTCCTTAAGTCACCCGAGGTCACCCTCCCCCCAAGTGCAGGCAGAAGAAAGGATGAGCATGGGCGGGGGGCTAAATCCTGCAGTGCCATCCACCCCTGCTGGCCTACCCACCCCCCAAAAGTGGGGGGTCCCCTTTCCTTTGCCCCACTGTCTCCTATACCACTGTCTGCTTGGGAACTTGGGCGCCAGACAGGGAAGCACCCATGAGAACACTTGCAGCGGTCCATGTGCCTCACTGTGCACTTAGGAAACTGGGCCCCAGACAGAAGGACTTGAGGCCAGGGCTGCTTCCACGAGGCTGCTGCTTCACCTCACTGACCTCGCACCATTCTCTCACGGAACCTGCCTCCTCTCTGCCCCCGTTTTCTCCCCTGCCCACACCCCACGCCCCACGCCACCCTCTGTCTGCTCCTCCCGCCGCTGCCCTAGTGGTGACCAACAGACGCCCCTATCCCAGAGCAGGGGTGGGGGCAGGGGGTTTGGAGCAGCTGCTGCTCCGAGGAAGCTGACACCGAAGCCAGCCGCTCAGCAGCAACTTGTGGCTTTGCACCCAGCTCTGGGCCCCCACCCACCTGGCTGCCGCCTGCCAGCTCCCTGCTGCTGCCGTTTTCCCCACTGCTCCTCAGACTTCCCTCTGACCCCGGCAGCCTTGTCTCTAGTCCCCCAGCTCCGTCTGTCCTTATTTCCCCTGGACCTGTCCCCATCAATCTGCCCGTGTCCATTCCTTGCGTCTGGAGCCTCTGCTTCCCTGGCCCCTGCCTTTGATGCCCCTTCCCTCGCGCCTCTGCCCACAGGGTGTGCCCAGCGCCTGAGCACACAGCTCCATCTTCACTCCCCTTGAGCACAGCTCCTTCAGGGCCAGGGTGGAGCACAGACCACACACCATCCAGGGCCTGCCATGTCAACCCTGTGGATTGAAGAGAGCACAGTGTGGGACGAGGTGACCCTCATTGCATGACTTGGGGTGACCCCTGCCCCCATTCTGAAACTTTGATCCCTCTCTGTCTACCATCAGCACATTCTGTAGGCTCTTGGGTTTCCCGGCTGCCTGGGTATCCCATTTTCTTGGGGGGGGATTCCCTCTCAAGGGTGGGGGGGCCCTGAAGGCTCTGTTCCCAGAGGCTGAGTTAGAGCCATGGGGGGTTGGGGTTTAGGGAGAGACGAGCAGTCCTGGCTCTGCTCAGCGGGGCCTGGACACTAAATCCCTTGTTGATAGCTGCAGCAACCCCTCCCTAGGGTAGGGTTACCGTCTTCTGCCCTGTCCCCTTGACCCTCTCCCCTCCCTGCTTCCCCTTGTCCCTCTAGAGCCACTTCCTCTTGCCCCCAAAGGATGTTCTCCCCCTTTTCAGCCCCCGTGAGGGTTGGGTATCTCTGCTGCCATTTCAACAAACTCAGGAAGGAAGGATGAGACTGCAGCAGTAGAAGCAGGTTCAGGAGGGATGAGATGGGAAGAGGGTTTGAGGAAAGGGAATAGAGAGAAGTGGGCTGAAGGGAAGAACTGGAAGAGATGACTGTGGAATAAGAAATGCAGTGCAGCTGAAGATATCGGGGCAATTGGGGAAGGGCTCAGCAGCAGAAGACAGAAAATGAGGTCTCTCTCCCTACCCCCCTTTCCCTGGGGCTGGGGCCACCTTAGCTTCCCTCATGAGTGACATCTCAGGCTGCAGCCCCACTGTTCCCCCTCGTCAGCAGAAATATCTCTCTCTTCTGACCCCTCCTGCTAGAGTCCCGGCCAGCCAATCCCTGGTCTGAGGGAGGGGGGAGCCTGGCCCCCCCTACTCCCTCATAAGGACCAGCTGGGGGCTGGGGGGGTGGCCGGCTGCTGCAAGTGGAACGGGGGTCAGAGCTTCGTGGAGGGAAGAATAACCTGGGGGGGGGGAAGGAAAGAAAGAGGAAGAAACCCAGACAAACAGGCAGGTGGATACACTGAGGAAGGCCCCCGACGTGTGAGAACCCCCCCAGAAGGAACACACTGCCCCCTGGCCCCCAGGAAGGGAGCACCATGGAGGCTGCGCACTCCAAGACCACAGAAGAATGTTTGGCCTATTTTGGGGTGAGCGAAACTACAGGCCTCACCCCGGACCAAGTTAAGCGGCATCTGGAGAAATATGGCCATAATGGTAAGTGTTCCCTGGAGGAAAAGGCTGGTAACGCCCTCCTGCATCCCCACAACATACACACACACACACACACACACACACACACACACTCACACACACACACACACACACACACACACACACACACACACACACACACACACACACACACACACACACACACACTGAAGCCTCTCCCTCCAGGGTATCTTAGG